AGAGAGAGAGAGGGTTTTACAAATGTGATCTTAATTTCAAATCATCCCTCACATTTTGAGAAATTAATTTTTCTAAAAAAAATTCATTTTGCTTAGTAAATTTATGTTTTTTTATCAATATGGGAAGTTTTTTTCTATATTGCTCAATAAAATTATGTTTTTTGATGAATATGGGAACGTTTTTCTATTTTGCTTAACAATATTATTATTTTTTATAAAATTATCGTTTTTTCATAAAATTATGTTTTATGTTGAATATGGGAAGTGGTTTTCCATTTTGCTTAGTAAAATTATTGTTTGATAAAATTATGGTTTTTTAATAAAATTATATTTTATGATGAATATGGAAAGTGGTTTTTCTATTTTGTTTAATCAAATTATTTTTTGATCAAATTCTTTGTTGTACTGTTCTTATTTTTGATAAAGTCAATGCACAACAAATTGATATGGATAAGATAGATGCATATAAGAACTGTGCATTGATTTTTCGTTTTGTTGCATGTCATGAGATGTACTTTTTGTGAAGTATTCTTTATTTAACTTCATCCATGTACTTTTTGTGAAGTATTCTTTATTTAACTTCATCGAAAAAGTGTTGTATGAATTATACTTTATCTAACTATGTAGAAGAGGTCCTTCATATTTCTTGTCTTAATTAGTTGGTGTTTTTATTTGATTTTATAGCATCGAGCCACTTTTGTTACTTGCAAAAAAGTGTATAAACTTTCATTCCTAATGTGAGCGATTTTTTGTACAAAAGAAACTACAAAGTTGTTACTTGAAAAAAAGTGCATAAACTTTCATTCCTAATGTCAGCGATTTTTGTACAAAAGAAACTACAAAGTTTTTTATGTAAGGCTTGGAATGAATATGTTAATTCTTAAAAGAAGATGTTACATGACAAAAATATCTTCAAAAAATATCCTAAGATATTTTCATGTACAGGACCATAGTATTTAAATATTAATTTATAAAAATTTATTTCAATTTTTTTGTAAGATAAATATATATAATAAGATATTATACACTTAATCTAAGTATTTTTATTTTTTATTTTATTTTTTTGAGAGTTTTTTATTTTTTATTTTTTTAAAAAATCCACCTGATCTGTTTACAGTCCCGATTAGTCCGGTTCCGATTCAAACCGCTCCCAATCCCATTAACGGTTCGATTTTACAATCACTGCATATGCATATGACACTGCAAGAGCTCGGTTGGTAGAACTAAGCTCAAGATAGGGGTAGTCTCGATGGTTAATAGAAATCCAGTGCAAGTTTGACATGCAAACATGGCCACTTAGATAGTCCTGCGTCCCCACTAGAAAGTGGGCGCGACGAAGGACCGAGGCAAAAGAAAAAGGAGAAAGCCGAAATTTAGGAAAGTAGCAGGGGCATTAATATTACAAGGTCATCTTCGTCTAAGCTTCCCCCTTCCTGATAAGCTCCAGTACGAAAACTCGTAATGGAGAGTCTCTCTCTCTCCTACTTCTCTCTCTAAACTTTCTCTCTCTAAACTTTCTCGCTCTCTGAACTCTCCCCCTTTATCTCTTCCTTTTTCTGATCCCTGTGTAGAACACGTGCATTTAAATACAGTCTCCCTCTTTCTCTCTCTTCCCTTCTGGCTCTCTCTCTCTTCTCTTCTGGGGATAACACACCCAAGTGTATTCAAGCATCTCGACCATCACGCATTTCTTACACCTTCTCTTTCTCTCTCTAAAAGAGCGGAGCATATTCAAGCAACCTTCATCCCCCACGCAATACAAGTTTTATGCAAACCGTTCTCTTTCCAGAATCAAACCACCCATTCCTCAAGCATTCGTATCTCTTTCTCTCTCTAGGGTGCCAAGCAAAACAGGGAGAAGAAAGCAGGAAAAAGGGGAGAGAGAGAGAAGGCAAAAGGGGGAAACGTATTTCTCGTGACAAAGAGCTAGAAGAAGCGAGGAAGGGAAGAGGCGGTACCGGTGAAAAGAGAGAGAGAGAGAGATAGGTGTTAGAGTTATGACCAGCGGTGGCGGAGGTGGTGGCGGTGGAGGCGGCGGCGGTGTTGGTGGAAGGCTTCCCACTTGGAAAGAGAGAGAGAATAATAAGAGGAGAGAGAGGAGGAGGAGAGCTATAGCAGCTAAGATATATGCAGGGCTGAGAGCTTCGGGGAACTATAAGCTTCCCAAGCACTGTGATAATAATGAAGTTCTTAAGGCCCTTTGCAGAGAGGCTGGGTGGACTGTGGAAGAGGATGGCACAACTTACAGAAAGGTACAGATCTCTCTCTCTCTACCTTTGTTTCTTTCTCTACACGCCTGTCTGATGTTTCTCTGTTTCTGTGGAAGTAAAGGCTGGTCTAGTGATTTGGGTTTTCCTTCTGGTTCTTGTTCTGACAATCGCTCTCTCTCTCCCCTGAAAGTTAAGGTTTCTTTGGTGATTTGGGGTTTCCCCCTTCTCTCTCTACATGTTTTTTTTTTTTGTTTCGGACATGGTGATTCTCTCAGTTTGATTCTTTGATGTTGGGGGTTTGAGCTCCTCTCTCTCTACTGATTTCTCTTTCACACAGTTGAACTCGAATTTCTATCCTCTTTGCTTTTGGTCTGGGTCTGGGGTTTCTGCAGAAGCTATTGAATCTCAGCTGGTTCTTACTGTTCTATTGTTCTACTTCGATCTAGCATCTGGATTTATTCCCTCATCTGTAATCTTTGAATTAACTGTGATTTTCTTCTTCTTCTTTCATTAGTGACTAAAGATTCTATCTTTTCCCCTTTTTCTCTCACTACACACCCCACATAAATCACCTGTAATAATCATGTTTCTTCCACTCCATTTTATACATAAAACTTTTAAAAAGTTAAGCTTCTTTCTCTCTCTTCCCCTTTCTTGATTCCAAACTTGTAATCATGGCAATTGGTAATCAATGATTTAATATTTTCTTTCCTTTTCCTTTTGGTACTCATTTATTTCTCTTTGCCAATTTCTAGTTAGTATTCTCCAATAAAAAAGTTAAGTTAGTTTTCTTCAATAAGAAAAGTTAAAAGGTCCAATTTCTGGAACTGGGTTTTTTCTCTCTCTTCATGTCCTCAAATTGGGCTCTCTCTCTCTCAATGTTGGTGGTCATCTCTCAAATTGGGTTTCTTTTCTCTCATCTTGTCCTTAAATTTGCTCTCTCTCAATATTGGTACTCATCTTCTCAAATTGGGTTTCTTCTGTCTTTATTTACTCATCTCTCAATATCCTCAAAAAATGCTCTCTCTCAATATTGGTACTCATCTTCTCAAATTGGGTTTCTTCTCCTATTCTGGAGTTCTCTCTCTCCTCTTTTTAATCTTTTAGTTATTGATTTTCTTCTTTCCTCTCTCTCTCAATTTGTTCTCTTGGGTTTTTTGTCCAATTCAATGGTGGTCACCAACTGCTCTTTTTTAGTTTTTTAGTTCTTGATTTTCTTCTTTCCTCCCCTTCTTTCTCTCTCTCTAATCTTAATTTGTTCTCTTGAATCTTAATTTGTTCTCTTGAGTTTTTTCTCCAATTAAATGGTGGTCATCAACTACTTTGTAGTTTTTAGTTCTTGATTTTCTTCTTTCCTCTCCTCTCTCTCTCTCTCTCTCTCTCTCCT